ATTCTATTCTATTCTATTCTATTCTATTCTATTCTATTCTATTCTATTCTATTCTATTCTCATATTATTGGGAAAAGGCTGAGAGACAGCTGCAGTGCATAAGGTGCAGGAGCAAATTTTGCAACAGTTGATCAGTTTTAGAAGCAAAGGTAGAAGAGAGACAGAGAAGGAGGGGTTGGCTATGTCACTGCAATGACATAAAAGCAACCTGGAATTAAGGAGAAACTCCCTAACAGAACAATTAACCAGTGGAACAGATTGTCTTCAGAAATTGTGGAGATTTTTAAGAAGAGACTGAACAGCCACTTGTCTGAAATGGTATAGTGTCCCGTTTGAGCAGGGGGATGAATTAGAAGAGGATCCTTCCAGCTCTATTCTATTCTTAAAAGCAGCTGCAGAGAAGGAAAACCCTTTACTCAGACACTGAAAATATTAATTGGATTTCAGCAGGGAGGATTTTCATCTCCTGAGTGGAGAGACATTTGTACATGGCCTGTGCCAGGCCTTCCAGGGCTCCTCCATCCTGTGGCACTTCATACTGCTTACCTTACCACATCCCAGAGTCTCCTACACTACCCTCCATGAGGTGTGCTCATTTGGGATATAGTTTTAATATAATATTAATATTTCCTCTTTTTATTGCTTCTGTCACTTTCAAACCCTTTTAAGCACTCTGTATCATTTAACTGTGTTAATCATGGAATTTAATTCATAGCAGCTACAGAATATTATTTCTATTAATCATCACAATGCTTTGAAAAGCACTGTTTTGCTTTCAAGTCTTCAAGATTCAATAGCTAATGGCCAATGTAACCTTTTATGAAGTCTCCTGGAAATGGGCCACAACTGGAAAAATGTTTGGCTGGTGCATCATCAGTTTCAATTGGGAAGTTCAAAAAGAGGAAGATGGCAAAATCCCAGAATTGTATACGCAGTTAAGCACTCAAAAGCAGAATGCAAATAGAGAAGTAGGAAATCGGGCTATAGAGTTTCAAGGACAGAGACCAAGTGGTACCACTCAAACCACAGATGTTTCTATGTTGATGCACAAGGTATGGGGGGGGGGGGGAAAATCCAGCAAAATCTAGAGATCCTAACTTTAGAAAACAAGTATCATGTGTCACTTCACTGAAACATGGTGAATGATATTCATTATACCAACATTAACAGAAGCATAAAGTTATGCTCTGCTTCACTCCACCCTGGTCAGACCCCATTTGAAATACTGTATTCAGTTCTGAGTACCATAGTTCAAGATGATAAACTGAAGTAAATTACAGAATAATAGTGGTGTAAAGTACAGACCTTGGGAGTATTCTAGTCCAAACCCTGCTCAAGCAGAGACTGTATACCATTCTGGACAAAGGATTAAGTTAAATTAAGAATTAAGTTAAAAGTTAAGAGGATGGATACAAAAAGGGTGAGCAGAGTAAAAATCAAGTCTGAAGAGGAACAATTAGAAGATTACAGAGGTCTTACAGAAGAGACAAAGAAGGCGAGATATTATAGAGTGTTCAAATACCTGAAGTTGTCTCATAGAATAGGAAATACACTTACCTCGACCATCTCGGAAAATCACCTCTTTTTCATCTGTAATCCACGTGTAACATGGAAACTCCAGGTAATCACCAACTGGTGTTTTCACAGTGATATATTTAAGGTACCAATCATCAGGAAACCAGTACTTCCGCTTTTCAATTTTTATCAGTTGGATTTCCCCCAAGTCCTCTGTCACTGTAACTTCATAAGTATCAGTCTGGGAAGGGGGAGAAAAAAGACTGTAATCTGCTGGACAACTTATATGCATCCACCTGCAAATAATTTCACTTCCCATTTTCTTTTTTTTTCTTTTATTACTTTTTTATTAATATAAATAGAAAGAGCATTTTCAAAGTCCATATGGACAGTGTGTTGTCTGGTTACAATTCTCTTGGGTAATATTCATCATAGTAATATTATTATTATTCTCTAATAGTAATCTCATGACAGTGCTTTTTCCTCATAATTTTAATACATGTTGTTAATACTGATCAAAATTAATCAAAATTAATAAGTTACAGTGATCAACCCTAATAATATTAATCTTTCTCTTGTAATTTTCAAAGTTCTAACTCCTGTTTCTCTTATTTAACCATCAATAAAACAGATTCCATACCTCAAAGTATTCAGTGTCTTCCTTTTCTTTAATTTCAAATGTTAGTTTATTCATTTCTGCACATTCTAAAATTTTTGTTATTATCTTTTCTTCTGTGGGGATCTCCTCGCCCTTCCAATGTTGTGCAAACACTATTCTGGCCGCTGTTAATAAATATATTATTAAATATGCATTCCGTTTACTGTATTTGTCTAGTATGATGCCCAATATAAATATTTCGGGTTTTAAATCTATATGTTCATCATTTTTTCTAGCCAGGTGTGTACTTTAGTCCAATATTTTTTTGCTTTCGGACATGTCCACCACACGTGGTAATACGAGCCCGGGGTTTGGTTGCACTTCCAACACTTGGCAGATATATTCTTAAACATTCTAGCTATTCTTGCTGGGGGAAAGTGCCATCTGTAAAACATTTTGTATAAAATTTCTTTGTATGCAGTGGACATTGTCAATTTATAGTTTGTCCCACAACTGTTGCCATTTGTCCAATTCTATCGAATACCCAAAAATTTTAGCCCATGCTATCATGGTTTCTTTTACTTGCTCCTCTTCCATTCTAATAGTCAATAAATAATTATAGAATTTTTTAATCAGTTTCTCCTTCGGTCTTATTAAGATTTGATCCTATTCTGTTGGTTCTTTATAAAAACCATGTTATAACATCTTTATAATATCTAGATTGTATCTGTACATGCGGCCACCATGCTAAATTTATCTATTCAATTCCTTTTTATTTTTAAATTCCTCCTTCTCATTTAAAATATCTTTGTATCTTACAATTTTTTCCATGTCCATCACATTTGGATATGTTAGTGCCTCTATCGTGGACAGCCAGACGGGTATTTTCAAATAGTGTTTTTCCTTGATTTTTGCCCATATTGAGAGCAGAACATTTCTAATGTAGTGTGCCTGAAAGTATTGATGTGTTTTGTGTTTCTCGTACCATAGAAAGGCATGCCACCCCAGTTGTAAATCATGTCCCTCCAGTACAAGTAATCGTCTATGTCTCAGAGTTATCTATTCCTAAGGGCAGCTGCTTGATAATATAGTTCCGAATTTGGCAACCCAAAACCTCCTGTATTGGTAGAGTCTTGCATTAATCTCAGCCTAATTCTTGCCTTTTTACTTTGCCATATAAATTTGGTTACCATTCTATTTAGTTCCTCAAGATATTTCCTTTCTAGCTTTATTGGTATTGTTTGGAACAGGCATAACAGTCTCGGTAAGATATTCATTTTGATGGTGGCTTAACTTCACATTTTCAGGAGTGTTAATTTCAAGCCAACAAGACTTTGTTGATGTGCTTTTAGCAGGCTTTGTCACCATTGCCCTTGCTATTTTGTGAAACAGGTCCAAAGCAACTGGTTGTGAATCATGTCTAAAACAGTCAGTTCATGTCTGTCTCCATCATGACAGCAGAATTAGGGCAATATTCAGATGTGTAAGACTACAGCTCTCAGCTCTCAAAATCTCCCTAGCTAGCATAGCCATAGAAGTTGAAACTCTATACCTCTGAAGTTTTCCACTTTGGGAAATGCTGCGCTAGAACCAATCCTAACATGTTTCTGGCTTTATATATGCCACAGGACACACAATAGATTTGGCATTCTGTTCGACTACTGTTGAGAATCTATAGGCAGGAATACTCTGTGTGATTCCATTGTAACTGATGTATATATTACTATTTCAAAGTTTATACTATCCACATTGCTAATTTTAAATTCTTGTTGTATATGTGTGGCCTGAACAAGCCTTTCAGCATATTTTGATTTAATACTGTCTTTTAGTCAATTGTTTTTGTCTACATATATTTTTATAACTAACCAGACATTATCAATTTAATTTTGTATATTTGAATACTAATTCTCTTGTGCTGGTAAATGACTACAATAAAGTTATCTCTCTCTGTAACTGATATATATAACTTCTTAGTCAGTTTTACACCAGAAGCTAGTATAGTCTTTTGCCCTGGTACAGGATTGGTTGAAGCATGGGTGGGATTCAAATTTTTTTACTATCAGTTCTGTGGGCATGGCTTGGTGAGCTTGGCAGGGGAAGGATACTGTAAAATCTCCAGTCAGAGGTGGTGTTTGCCAGTTCTCCGAACTACTCAAAATTTCCGCTACCGGTTCTCCAAAATTGGTCAGAACCTGCTGAATACCATCTCTGGGTTAAAGGTGTTAGACCCAAGCATCTGATAGAACTAGCTGGTGCCCTATATATACCTGGCAATTTGTTCACCTTATTTGTGATGTTATTAAAACTCTCATTTATGGAATACTCCTTGAAATTACTTCATGCTGATTGTTGTTTTTTATTGTTCACTGATAAAGGGAAATAATTGGCTTAACTGAGATGGGGAAGTGGAATATTTTACAACAGAAAATATTTTTATAACAGGAACAGAAACAGGACTTTAACTAAAGATTCATGCATATTGAATGTATGTGTATCACATAAGCTGTAAAAGAATAGCCAATACAATCAAGAAGAAAAATATATGACAGAGGTCTTTATCATAAACACTGTAGGACTATAGCATATATCACATAATATGATCAATACAGAATCTTACATTAACTTGATTTTCACAGGTATAGAGCAACCCCCCTTCTCATGTATGCACCTGTTAAACAAATCTATATGGCATGTTTGCATAACATTTGGATATTTATAGTAAACATGAAAATTAAGGACCATAACAATTTAATTTTTACAAATATAAGGAAAAACAAGGCAAGTGTGACTAAGAAGATTTAATTTGCATATGTGTGACAGACTAATGATTTCACTATCACCTGTGAGATTAGGAACACAATTGAAATATGCAGGCTCAAAATCAAGCAATAAAAACACATTTTTGTTGGACTGGAGCAGTTAAAAACTTTTACATTTCTATATTTGAGATTAAGCATTTGCTCGGTATGCAGTTTGCATACCGAGCAAATAGATCGACAGATGATGCTGTTAATATAGCTCTGCACTACATCCTACAACACCTTGAATCTCCAAATATCTATGCAAGGGTCCTCTTTGTAGACTTCAGTTCAACATTCAATACCATCATTCCAGACATTCTTCTAACTAAACTAAACCAGCTAGCGGTACCTGAACACACTTGTGAGTGGATCATAAATGTCCTAACAGACAGGAAGCAGCAGATGAAGCTAAACAGAATCACATCTGATACCTGTACAATTAGCACACACACACACACACCCCAAGGCTGTGTGCTTTTTCCACTTCTCTTCTTTGTATATACCAATGACTGCATCTCAAACGATCCATCTGTTAAAATACTGAACTTTACAGATGATACAACAGTGATTGGTCTCATTCGAGACAACAACGAATCCACATACAGATGGAAGGTTGTACAACTTGCCTTGTGGTGTAACCAGAACAATCTGGAACTGAACACACTCAATACCATAGAAATAGACTTTAGGAGAAATCCTCCCATACTATCGCCTCTTACAATACTAGACAACAAAGTATCAACAGTAGACCTTCACATTTCTAGGTTCTATCATATCATAAGACCTAAAATTGACATCTAACATCAAAAACGTCATCAAAAAAGCACAACAAAGAATGTTCTTTCTGCGCCAACTCAGAAAGCTCAAACTGCCCAAGGAGCTGCTAATACAGTTCTACAGAGGAATGATTGAGTCTGTCACCTCCACTGCTATAACTGTCTGGTTTGGTTCTGCAACCCAACAAGACAAACACAGACTTCAGAGAGTAATTAAGGCTGCAGAAAAAACCATTAGTACCAACCTGCCTTCAACCAAGGACCTGTATACTGCACGAGTCAAAAAGAGGGCTGTGAAAATATTTACAGACCCTTCACAACCTGGACATAAACTGTTTCAACTCCTTCCCTCAAAACAACGCTATAGGGCATTGCACACCAGAACAACTAGACACAAGGACAGTTCCCCCCCCCCAATCCTTATGATTTATATTGACTGTTTCCTGGTATGATTTGATTGCTTATCGTACCCTATGACTATTAAGTGTTGTACCTTATGATTCTTGACAAATGTATCTTTTCTTTTACGTACACTGAGAGCTTATGCACCAAGACAAATTTCTTGTGTGTCCAATCACACTTGGCCAATAAAGAATTCTATTCTATTCTAGACTATTCAAAGAACACAATGAAGAAACAAAAGCCCCGACATTCTGAGATGAACTGAGGAAGTTACCAAGTGCTTCTTACAAATATCATTTTGCCCGCTTTCACAATCCTGATACAGCAAACCAGATAATTCTGATTCACTATACTAGAAAAAGTATGAATACGGATTCTCCCCTCTAGATAGTGCAGTACTGTATGGCCGTTTTCGCTGTATGCGGTCCAGAAAAACAAATGTTTGCTTGTTAGCAAACAGAGGCAGGATCCTTTCCTGGAAAATAGCTCTCCTATTGATCATGCAACATAAAATTTTCCGCAGTCATAATACAGAAGATATAATATACTTTTCGCTTTCCGCGAGAAGGCAAATTAGCATTCAAAATTGTTGCATGCTATTCAGGAGGCAAAGATGTGTTGTACTGCGGCAGAATGCAAACATCCCTCGATAGCTTAGAAGAAATGATATGAGTGTAAATAGGAAACCAATATCAATGAGGAACTACTGAGAGATAAGGAAAGAAAGGACTTTTTGTCGCTATAAAACTTAATCTCAAATAACTTGTGCTTAGAGAGAACCGATCGTACATATTTCGAGTGATATTCCACAGCCCGCCCACAACCTCACTCACAGCACCGCGCTCGAAGTCATTATAGAAGGGCTTGTCAAGTAGGTGTCTCTCGCTCGTGCCGGCTAAGCCCACCAAGGTAAGGTAGATATAGTCGTCGGTCCCTGCGAACCACTGATTTCCCGTCGCCACTGTCACTAAGTAGGATGGCATGACTAGAGCTCAGTAGTAGTGCTCCACTTTGCTAATAAATTCAAAATTTATGGAAGGATTGTAGTAATTCTATGGGCGGAGCGGGGCGGAACAAATTGGCAGTCACAACCAGCCATCTTGCTTTTTTTCCCGCCCAGAAGGGGAAGGGAAGTAATAGTTGATAAGGCGTAAAGCGTGTGCATTCTCATTTCTGAAATGAAATCTCGAAGTCTGATTAGGGTACCTCTAAATCATATTATTTTGACAGAATAGTAGAAAACGTATACCATGGAACAGATGGAATTTGCAGCAAAATACAATATAATTGTCTAAATGTTTCTGCCTGCCTAAATCATGCTTAAGTAGTAGGAAGCTAAAGCAGATTTAATCTTTGTTTTGTATCCTTGATATCCCCTTTTAAACTGTTTCTATTTGACCTAAACATTAGGTGGCTTTACAAGTTTTTCAGTTGTAAAAATAACCAAAGATGCTAATGTTTTCTTTTATCTGTAATCAAGTTTGGCTAAAAATACCACTTTCTGCTTTTATTTTAATTTTTATTATAGTTTTAGAGCCTGAAAACTGCTTTTGTTTGCAAATTTACTTTAAAATAACAGGCAACCTATTCTTAATTAACTTTGCAGGAAGACAATAGAAGCAAATCAGTATTTGCATATCAAATCACATTTTAAATAGATTTTAACTATACAGTGGCTCTTCCCTGGTGAATGTGACTACAACATCTCTAAGTACCTAAAACTTCAAATTGAATAAAGACAAAATACTATAATCATAGACCAGCTTATAAACAGAAAGAAAACGAAGTGTGAGATTGCAAATACTATAGCAAAACTATTCTAAAAGTAGTGTGGTAAAGATGTTGAGATATTTACAATAAACAGCCACATTAAGAGAAATAAATCACACTAATCATAATTAATAGCAACTGTCAATAAAATGAATCCAAGGGCTCTGGAAATTTGAGTGCTATAGATGAGGTATTGCAACTGGGCATTGTAGTAGTAGTAATATGAAAGAACATGAGATAGTATTTCAGAGATTCCTCCACTACAAAGTCTTTTTTCAAACGGAATGCTCTTGTTTCTCCTCAAAAAACAAATCGATTAATATTGGAAAAGATGGCTGATTAATCAACTGGAATAGGTCACAATGTCATACAAATATACTCATTGTGGCTTATATTGCTAAGAATCTGACTTTGTAAATACATGAAAAACATAATGTTGTCTTTAATGTCTGTTGAGTACTGTACTGCTTGTTTATATTTTAAAGTATGGCGACAGCCTGAATGCATGAATATATGAAATGTTTTTAAAATTAAATCAGAAGTATTTTCCATTATGCTAATTCTTAATAAATAAAGCCAATTTCAGAAACAAATACCAACATAAAAGTAGTCAAACTAACATATAAATCTCTTTTGTATTCCTTTTAGCAAGTCTAGACATGGCAAAAACATTAACTGGTGGAAAGATGTAGAGCGGGGTGCCAAACTCATGGCCCATGGCCCGGATGTGTCATGTGCTGGCCACACCCACCCCCGGTTTAGCAAAAGGGGGGAAAGTCATAATACATCACGTGACGTGATGACACAAATTTGACACCCCTGATGTAGAGCATGGGTACCCAACCTTTTGGCTTCTGAGTGAAGAGAAAATATATAACATAATGTATATAAATCATATGTTAAAAGCTTATGATCTTGTGAAATCACATTGCTAGTCATCCAGAAGCATAAGGGCCATGGGCTGCAGGTTGGATACAGCTGCTGTAGAAACTATTTGGCAAATGCTAAGAGAAAATAAAGTTGTGTAAAAAAATTGAACGTAAGAATGCTGCAAAATATATAACAATTCCTTTTGTTCAAAGCCTTCTCTGAACAAGTGTAAATGCAGGTAGAAACAAAGTAGACCTTAATGAGGATCATGTGAGCAATATAGAAGGTTCTCATATAAATGTTTCCCTGCATTTTTTTTTATTTTGTTGTTTTATATTTAATGCATGGTAAAATATTTTAAATATTGGTCTTAATTGTTGAAAAGTCCCTTCAGACCATGAGGCCCTAAGGCACACATGGCTGTTTAACAACCCCCAGGCCACATCCGGCCTTTTGGCTGTCCTTGTCTGGCCCATGGAGATCAATTGGAAATTAGATGTTAAATATAATAAACAAGCCTGCCGCAGGGGCAGCAGAAGCTGAGTTGACTTCATCTGTGCATTCCTTCAGTTAGCTGGTGGCAGCAGAAAAGTTTTTTTCTACACTGTGCAGTGCTCACACCTTGCCTAAGGCAGCGGCAATTATCATCTTGTGTGGGGACCTGGGCTTTGCCTCTCAAAGCAGAGGCTTCTGCATGAGTGGGTGGAGCACAGTCATGTTTAGCCCTCCACAACAGCTCCAATTTGTCATGTGACAAATTAATTACTCATCTCTGTCTTAAGGTGAATTTTAATTTATATCTAAATCTGGTTCTGTGGTTCAAACCATTGAAAAGCCAGCTATCAGGAAATTAAAACAAGTTAGTGCTAAAAGTTAGAATAAGATGAGAAATTTGCAGTCCTTCAAATTCCTGAATTACTTCAGAGAATTACTTTTACCACGGCCATTCTGTCTGGATCTGCCAGCTGTGTATAAAATGGAAAATATGTTTTGTCTCATGCTGGATATTTCTGATGTGCCATTTCAGTTTAGCCAGTGTAAGAGAAGCAGAACCCAGAATATTTTGGCTATTCCAGTTTCCAATAAAGTAAAAACCAGAGAAAATGAATGGTGTTCCAGGAAGAGCATATCAAAGCTATGTACTTTTCTCTAATCGAAGCGTTCTCAACACATTTACTTGTATTTAAAACAAAACTAGAAACATTTATGAACAGGGTGTTTGATACAACATAAGACCTACACAACTCTTGTTTTGAAGTACAAGAAACAGTTCAATATGACCACAACAAATCTATCATTACCATATATGTAAATATTCCTTTTTAGTGACAGATATCAAAACATATTATGAGAGTTGTTTCAGGTTAGTATGTCTTATACAGATATCCAGCATCAATTTGTACATAAGGCAGTAGAGACATACACACAATATATAAAAACATACTGTTTCAAGAACAACTTCTGCCTTTCTTTTAACTAAGTAGCATGAAGAGGTCTGGAGTTATTTTTTTATTATGTGCTGGTGGCAAAAGGATGCTTTGAATTTGGGGTGAAATGATGTTGGCCAACAAACTTTCATCAGGCAACCTTAACAAATGGAATCAGCTAATTTTATATAGCAATTAGTTTGGATACAATTAATAACATGTGGATTAGTAATAGCTGTATTGTATGACTGTAAATACACTTTGAAACACAGTAGGAAGAAAATTCTGGACAAGTTTTATTAGTAGACATATCTGCCAGAGCACTCCTAATCAGACCTAACTTACTCAAGCTTATTATATCATAATGTACCAGGTGACAGATCACTGGAATCCTGAGGAAAAAGTGCAGATTATTAATTACTTCAGTTCCAGATCTCTATTGATTTCTATCTCTAGAGTTGTTCTGGAATTGGCAGATTCTAAAAATAATACACCATCTTTGAATTATAGGATTCAAAGGAGATTCTAGTCCAACCTAATAACCCAGTGCAGGAATCCTCATACAAGTAGTCCTTGCTTAATTATGCTAATTAAGATCAGAAACTCTGTCATTAAACAATGTGGCCATTAGTTTAAAAATACCATATAACCACACTGCCTAACAGAACAGTTTCAACAGCCCTACTTGCCCTGTACAATATTTTCTTGAAGTATTATCATCATTACCTCAATTTCCAGTGGAAATCTGCATAAAACAAAACAAAAAGGAATATTTTATATGAAATAGTAATAGTAGAGTTCTTGCAAGAAGAACAGAATATGGTTGTTAATTGGGAAACTGGTTCCTATCATTTAAACATTCAAACTGATATCTTGAAAATACTGTATATACAAAGAAGATAGACGACAGACCAAGAAACTAAATACGAGATTTACATTAAAAAGGTAGTCCTCAACTTATGACCATAATTGAGCCTAAAATTTTTGTTGCTAAGCAAAACAGCTAAGTGAGTTGTGCCCCAATTTATGATCTTTTTTGCCACAACTAGTAAGTGAACCACTGCAGTTGTTAAGTGAATCATGCTATTGTTATGTGAATCTGGACTTTCCCCATTGACTTTGCTTGTCGGAAGCCAGCTGGGAAGCTAACAAATGATCCCAGGACATTGCAACTGTCATAAATACATGCCAGTTGCCAAGCCACATTTTGATCACAGGACCCAAATTTTGATCACATGATGATCAAAATGCTACAATGGTCATAAGTATGAAAACAAGTTATAAGTCACTTTTTTCAGTGCTTTTGTAACTTTGAAGTGTTACTTAAACAAATGGTTGTAAGTTGGGGACTACCTGTACATTTATTTCAGTGCTGAGATGTGAATGGCAAGAGACAACCTAACTTTGGAGTTTAAAATTCTTTGGCCTTGTCAGAATTGAGAAGTTATTTTGTTTATTCTGCAGAATTTTTATCACATTACTCATGGAACTGAATTTACTTGCAACTAGGTAAATTCCCAAAATAGATGTGCATACCTTGTACCTGCTCTCAGTATCATCACAGAATCTGTTGCATGAGCATTTATCTTTTGTGATACAAAAGTTGAAACAAACTTCTATGAAATAGAGGGGTTAATTTTTCAAAATATACAGTATATTCAAGCTCTCAGGAAGAAGCCTGCTCTTCTACTGTATTTTTTCAAGAAGAGATACTCAGCTAGTCAATTATTCACAGTTTGAAACATTTATGAGGGCATTTGTCAATTCAGTATAAGTTGAGAAAGTCCACAGAGTAAACAAACCTTGGTGAATCTTGGTCCAGTCTTCCCTTTCCTTGCTTAGTCATGAGGAATTGTCCAAAAGCTTCTGCTTTTGAAACTGTATGCTTCAAAATAAAACCAAACCTGATTTGGTTCAGATGGTATGACAATCGAGTTAGCCAGAAATAAAAGCTGAAGTATTTCTCCAGCTGTACAGAAATATGTCTAACAGTGGCTGCTGTAGCTCAGTCAGAACACACATGGCCTCAGTTTAGCATGATATTTAAATATTTACAGTGAAGTGAACTCAAATTATTTCCCCATTTCACTTACCAGTCATAGAAGCCAGATGAAGAAATATTTCATGGACTTACTAAATTAACAGGGTAATGAGTCAAGAGATTTGACAATATAAAATTAGTATTGATTGGATAAACTAAAAAAAACTGTGTGTTATGTACACACATACACACGTGCCACTCTTGAAACAGGAATTTCTCTACAATTAACAAGGAATACCCATTAGAATCCCCTACCAGGGCTGCACTTATTTTTGTTTGTCTGTTAACAGTAGTGTTGAATAGTAGGTGGATCAAATGAGGCTACTCCTATTTGTCAGCTGGAAAAATGTTTTGTCTTCCAAGCAATTAACTGCTACAAAAGAAAATCATTAGTCTCATCAAGTTCTGACATTTGGAAATAGCAGCAATTATAAGGAAATGTCTAGGCAGATTCTAATATACATCCTCTGATATTAGCTACTTAACAGTGATATGCTTACTATTATTAAATATCCCTCTTGGGGGGTCTATTAATCTCTTACAGCCACCAGAACCGCACATAAACAATCAGCATAATAAAAAACACAGCAATAGCAGCAAGCTTGGCATAGGTGGAACGCATGTTCAGATATTTCGCATCCTGGCGGTATTTCTTGGACAAACTGGACAGATTGTTTGCCTTGGAATCCAATGCTGTTTGAAGAAAAGATAGCATGCAAACAAAAATATTATATTCATGAAATGTCAACATTATTTATAAGACAGTAGACCTCTATCCAGGTTTTTAAGACTGATTTTAGTCTGACATATATGATTCAATCTTTTCCATTATAGGTTTCCCTCAAACAGGTAGGAAATTTTTGTCTTTGATAATCAGCATTTTTTATTTAGATTAGAGACACTGACTTAAAATTATTGTAAACCACAAAAGAGAATTCATGGAAGTCAAATTCTTTCATTTCCCCTATTACAAAACCTTTTGGGGAAAAAACTCAATGAAAGGCTAGTGAACTTTCATAAGCAATGGGATGAGGCACTGAGTTTGCAGAAAGGAAGTTTCTTATTCCCTCTTCTCCCCTTTGTTTTGGGAACAGTCTGCACACCTTGCAGCATTTCACCTTGAGGTGTTAGAATTCTCTCAGGCTACAGATAGTGCACCTGCATTCCTCAAATTCTCTCCCAAGCCACTCATACATTCCAATCACTCACCTCCCCCCTCCCTTGTTTCTGTTGCCTAGTTGCAAGCAGGGATGCATAGCGAGTCAGCCATGAAAGCCACAGCTTTTTCAGCAAAACCCGGATTCAAGTTTAGGCTCTGGATAAACCAGTCCAAAACTTTGGTCTTCTGGTAAAAACATTCTTTTGTTTAGAGGTATGCTTTGGGTCATAATGCTGAAAGTTGACATTCCTCTTCATCCTCAGCATTAGGTAGATGCCTAAGTTTTGTGCCAAAATTGACTGATATTTGGAACTGTTCATAATTCCCTCCACATTGACTGAAGCCCCAATTTTAGCTGAAGAAAAGCAGTCCCAAAGCATAAATGCTGCCACCACTGCCATGCTTCACTGTGGGTACGGTGTACTTGTGATGTGCAATGTTATTTTTACACCACACCATTTGGAAATATGGCCAGAAAGTACAGCCTTGAGCTCATCAGACCAGAGCACCTTTTCTCACATGCTTTTGTCATACTTTATGTAGGTTTTTGTAAACTGGCTTGGATGTTTTCTTTGTAAGAAAAGGCTTGCCACCATATCCCACAGCCCAGACATATGAAGAATATGAGAGATCGTTGGCACCTGTAGTACATAACCAGCAGTTGCCAGAAATTCCTGCAGCTCCTTTAATGTTGCTGCATGTCTCTTGACAGTCTCTCAATTCTTCATAATGTCATTTTTGTGCCATATTTTCTCTACTTGTTGATGACTGTCTTCATGGTTCCATGGTATATCCAATACCTTGGAAATTTTTTGTACTCTTCTCCTGATTACAGTTTCCAACAATGAGATCCCTTTGATGCCTTTGCAGATCATGGCTTTTGCTGTAAGAGGCAACTGAGTAAATGTCATAAAAATCCTACAACAGCTGAACTTTATATGTGCTTGATCAGTCACTTTGATAGCAGATGTGTACTTTTTGATCTCAGTCTGAATGTTATTGGTTAATTCTGAACATACCCACATACCCATTTATAAAGAGGCATGTTATTGTAACTTTTTTTCCAACAGATTTCAGTTTGACTTTTTATATCTGCTGTAGTTTCTACTTAGACTATTTATAGCATGAAATGATTTTTATTTACATGAAATATTAGCTTTTATATTCAAAAGTGTATTTAACAATTCTTTCTATATGATTTCTATTGTAAAAGCCCATGTTTTTAAGCAGGGACTTTTGCACAGAGGGGAAAATTATCAGTACCTACTTGCTGTTTATTATCAATTACAAAGAGAACAGCTGCAGCTACAGCACATTTCTAGTTCATATTTAAGTGATGGTCTACTAGGACATCACAATCCCTCTTGCAGTTACTATTGTTGAGCCAGTTACCACCTATTCTATAGCTGTGCATTTGCTTTTTCCTACCTAAATGCAGGATCTTGCTTTTCTCTCCAATGAATTGCATTTTGTTGGCTAGGGCCCAGAATGCTCAAGTCTGCTCCTTTTGAATCATGAGTCTGCCTCTCAAGCTGTTGGCAGTGCCCCCCACCCCCATTTTGGTGTTGTCCTTCTGTTCCCTCATCCAGATAATTATTGAAATGGTGAAAAGCACTGGGTCCAATAACAGAACCTCGAGGTACCCCACTATATGGAGTACCATACATCTATACTCCATGTAGATGTAGTTTCATTAATGACTACACTCTGAATGAAATTGGCCAGCCAACTGCAAATCCATCTGTTGGTAGCACTGTCTATTCTACATGATGGTAGGAATCTACACTTTTAGAATTACCTCGTTTGGGAAAGATTTTTAACCAAATTAACTCTGGTGGACCTTTCCTCATGAAAGTTTAACTCAAACTCAGAAATAATGGTTAGGAAAAATACAAATTGTTTGCTCTGTTATGTAAACAGAAACTTTTTTCCCCTATATCAATTATTTATCCATAGGTCAAATAAAATGATAGAACACAGCAATAACAGACACCTGCTACTGTCGTTGCATTCTTCAGCTAACATCAGCTTCCAGTTAGGCAAGATAATTGCTTGCCTGCTTAATCACTAACTAAAACAGGTAGTGAACAAGTAGAAGGGCATGAACAGGTAAGATGAAGGGATTTCTATTAGGAAATATATGTTCTTAATCTTAGCAAAAAGAAAGGGTGCAATGAGGGTAACTAGAAAGTAGTGCAACAGAATAAGCTACATAATTTTAGTTGCCAAACAATAAACTATTCCACCACAGACAAAGAATAATGCTGAGGAAGAGAATGAAAGCCACCTGAGGGCCTTAAAAGTCTTGACAGATGGATGCTGAGAATTAGGCAGCAGAGCAGCATCTTTTCCTGTTCCCTATGGTTGGATTATGGGCTTTACCAAGTTGTTGATTATTTCCAAGCACCCAGTGGTTCCTATCTGCCTTTGCCTGCTTTTTATTTCTCTCAAGAAAAATAATTGACAAAATTCACCATTTCTCAAACTGTTCCAAGTTGGAATGAACAATTCCAATGGATGAATTAAAAAACACTGTTCAATAAGCAGTGCTATTGATGTATACTTATTATACATTGCACTGATTCCTCAGCATGAAATAGCGGCACTGAAACTCAAGATTACAAATGATTTAGAACTTCTCACAAAAATTATGATTTTCCCTGTCTGCTGGCTTGTTTTTTACAAAATAGAACATATATTTGCATGCTATGTTTCAAGTAAATTCCCAGAGGAATTTAGTACATGCTATTAAAATACAAACCAATTTTTTAAAAGGCCTTCATATGGTATCCAAAACAGCAGAGTAATTGCACATTCCATATTTGTTTTTCTTGGTATGAATCTTTTGTTGCCTCTTGAGGATTAGAATGGTCCTTCCCTTATCTACAGGAAGTATTTTATGCAAAGCAGTTTGCCAGTTTTATTCTGCAATCATATATTTAAACTTCTCCCAAAATGGGCAATATTTTGCAAACTATGTTCTGTGAAACGCTACAGTTACACAATAATATGATGGGCTAAGGTGGTGAGATCAATAGATCACAAAAAAGTTCACAGAACAAGATCTATGACCTGAAAAAAATGGAAAACATCTGGTTTATGGATCCCTGTACCTGAAAGAGTTTCACCTCGTTGTAAGACTTCTTCAATGTTGGCTACCATGATTCTTTGTACATCTTGTAACTCTGTATTAATAGACCCAAGATTTCTTCTTGCACGGCTATCTATATATACCTTCTTGGTTTTCTGGATATAAGTATCTGGAATAGACAGTAATTGTTAATGTAAGAGTATTTTCTTTCCAGATTCTTAATCAATTTATATTCTCAAATCATGCTGTACAGAGACATTATTGCAAGAAATGGAAAAAAGAGGAGGTGGAGAAGAAAGATAATTAACTGTTCTAGGAAAAAGTATAATGAACCTGTTGTCTGTTAATTTCCTTAGTAGGGTTCAGGGTTATAATTATACTGATAGCAAATATAGTCATTAACCACAATCTGATTATATCCTCGTTATACTATATGCAATTTAAATTACCTACCTCTTATTTAGTAAAATAAAACTTCTCAAGTACAGGTAGTCCTTATTTAATGAACACTCATACAGTGACTGAAATTATGACAGCACTGAATGAGGAGACTTATAACCATCCTTGTCATAACCGCCTTGTGGTCACATCATCATGATTCAGATATTCAGGAACTAGCTCACAATTATGATAGTTGTAGCATTCTGCAGTTACATTATCCCCATTTGTACCCTTTGCTGTCAGTTTCCAACAAGCAAAGTCAATGGGGAAGTCATCTGGTCACAAATTGTGATCATGTGACATCATGCTTAACAATCATGCAGGATTCACATAACAATGGCGAGCTGAACTGTCACAACTGCTGCCATAATGTGACATTGCTTATTATAACCACATTGCTTAACAACAATAGTTGCCACAGTTTCAATTACTGTTCTGAGGACTACCGATAGTGCAATTAAATGCACTCTAATAAGGCAAAACACATAGATGGCATAGGAAATGGCCCTGAAGGATAGGAGGAAGAACTGCTATCAAGACAACAAGCAGGCAAGCAGGACCTGAGCCTCTTCTAAGAAATTGGTTTGAGTAAATGTCTCAGGCCCCTCCCTGGCTCACACTAATAAAAGAGAGGGGAGAAGCACATTTACAGTTGCAAGATTGCATTACTATAACTATTATAAAAGAAGTTCCAACTTATATAGCATTGGTTTCTTAGTCTGGTTTGACAGAACAATGTAAGATGTGAAGTATTTTAAATGCAAACATCACTGTTTATTGATTATTCTATCTCTTTGAATCTTTTCATGTATATGCCACACAATCTTTTTATCCCATCAGTTGAAGCAGAAATCAGAGAATAATTTAGATATGCAATTCAGAATGCTTTAGTAACTTGCTAAAAGAAGTGGAATGAGCTGATGAGGAAGGGACATTAATATTACCAAAATGCTGGCCCTGGACTATCCTTAAATCATTAATCTCAAGAAATAAATCTCACCAAACTCAATGAAAGAATAGGGTCTGGACACCATTGGCACCTTTTTTCCATGTTGTTCATCAAATTCTGAGTGCAAATCTTCCAGGTATGCAAAAGCCATTTTTTTAGGGAAAGCAGCTTCACATAGTATCAGATAACAAACTCCTTTTTCAATAATGTAACTGTAAAAGAAGATATAAGCCAACTATTAACCTGGAAGAAAAATGAACCCCTACCTTGGACTATTAATTTCAGTGGCCATACTGCAAACAACATTCCAATCTATATTACAAGACACAAATTATATTAGCCTTGAATTATACTTACTTTAGAGTTCTACCACATTTTAAACAAGGGCAATGGTGAGGAAAGCTCACACCTGTGCTTCATCATGCTTGTCATCTTTAACTTTGTTTTATTGATTTTATTCAATGGGCTACCCTTGAAGAGCATTTGGAAGCTTCAACTAGTACAGAACACAGAGTCTAGGGACCCCTAGAGGGGCCCATGTTACATCACTGTTCCATGAGCTACACTGATTGCTGGTTTGCTTTTGGATGCATTTCAAAGTGTTCGTTATTATCTATAAAACCCTACATGGCATGGATCCAGATTTCACCCCTGTAAGACAGGTCTGCCCCACCCATGCTGGCAGAGGAAGCATGCTGCCCGTTCCACCCATGCCAGGTCAAGGAATTCCAGGTGGCAGGGTCCAGGAAAAGAGCCTTCTTGGCTGTGGCCTTGGCCTTTTGGAACATCTTGCTCCCTGAGGTGAGATTGGCTTCTGACTTTCTGAAAGAGATTGAAGATTGCCTCTGCCAGTTGGCTTGGGGGAATATCACACTAGAAGTTGTTGATCGACTAATAGTAGCTCCCACTTCTCCTCCTTACCTTCTGTTACTTTCCTTTCCATCCTTTAGTTTTAGTTATAATATGTATTTTCATTGTGATTTTACTGCAATTTTATATATTGGTGTGTGTGTATGTGTCTATATTTCAGTAGCACAAATTGCAAACAGAAATATATTACATTGGGGAGAAAAAATGTAGGAGACTAATATAATATGGGGAATTCATATCTTGAAAAGCTACTTCTGAAAAAGACGAACTCATTGACAAGCTGAACATGACTCAGCAGTGTAAACATTAGCAGGTAGAAAGGCTACTGCAATTCCTGACTGCCTTAGAAGCAACATTGTCTTAAAGAAATACCTTCTTTCTCTCTACTTCACTCTAGTTGATTTTTCTGTAGTAATGTATATGATTCTGGGCATCACATTTCTAAAAGGATATTGACAAGTTACAATGGATTCCAAAGAGGACCCTATGTGATGATGGAACTTAGTATGATGATGGAACTTAGTATGTTCAGAAAAGAAGACTTAGGGAAGACATAAGGTACATAAAGGAAAACTACTGAAAAAATGGGCAAGACCTATTTTCCTAAAAACAAAACAAGAATAAAGAATACAAATTATAGTTGCCTGAATTTTATTTAGGAGAGCTAAATTGGTGTAGAGTTAAGGCTAGAAACTGGGACACTATGAGTTTTAGTCCTGCTTTAGCACAAAGCCAGTTGGGTGACCTGGACCTAATACTTTCTCCCAGCAAACCAATTCTGAAAACCTTGAAAGGCAACTGCAGGGACTTGTTCAGGCAGTCACCAGCGAATCAGACAGCGAATTGAACAAAATAAAAATAATTCATTTAAACACAAGAAAATATTTCCTAATGATAAGATCTGTACAAAAATGGAATATTCTACTCTAAAGTTGTAGGTTTTACAATCCCTTTTTAAGAAAAAAGATTTTAAGATTAAGAAAAACTGTGGACATATTGTTGTACGTTGCAGAGGATTGAAATAGATAATTCTTACCATCCATTCCATGAATTCCTAGAATGCCATGATTCTATGAACCTGCTGTGTTCTTGCAGACTGAGGAACTGACTCACATCCCTGAATGCTTCTTCTAGAATCCAAGACCCTCTGAGGTTTACTGCAATGCTTTTAATTAGTTGGGGGTTCGGTAGAGCCCATAGCTAAGATTCTGTGCAGTTCAGAGAACCCCCAAATCCAACTCCTGGCTGGCCCCACCCACCCCACCCCTTCAAGGAGTCCCCACGCAGCCTGTTTTGGATGCACGCAAAGGCTCAGCGAAAGTTCAGGAAGGCCAGAAATGGGCCCATGTCTGGCTTCCAGAGAGCTTCCAGAGCCCAGGGAGGCCGTTTTCACCCTCCTGGAAGCTCAAGGAAAGCCTCCTGAGCCCAGGGAAAGCAAAAATGCCCCCCACCATGGTGGAGGCCAACTAGGTCACATCCACCCTGGCTACACCCACCCAGCAACGGGGCAGAGAACTCTTTGCTAAAATTTTTGAAGTCTACCTCTGGTTAGAGATAATAATTACATTTAGGCCTTTCTGAATTTCATTTGGAGGGAAGAGCACCCAATAATTCCTACATAGTTACTTGGATCAATATTTATTTGTAATAACTGAGGATATTGTCAAGCACTATGTTCCATTATTAGCTTGATACAAGATTTGCTATTTATACTTACTGAAAAGTCATTGGTCCAGCTTCTAATGTGCATCTGGTAGGAGACTGTTCATTGAGCTTCCGAAACAATTGCTTGGCCTGGCTCTGATACTGCTGCAAATCTCGCCCCGACTATGAAAAAAACACCAATCCCCCCAAACAAACAAAATCAATTAGATATATAATTGCAGATTCCTGTTCTCCAGTAGCATTCATTAAGCAGGTAAAATAAAGAGAAAATCCCTAACTGTATGATCCATCTTCTAAGTGGGAGGAAGAATGAACTCAATTTAGATTGGGACCCATTATCTAACGCTAAACGTTAGAAAACTCTAAGGAGCTTAATTTTGCTATAAACTTCAGTAACTAGCAAAACTCACAGATGTTATTTCTAGCCTAGGCAACCAGCATTTCGAGGTAAATAAAGAAAAAATAACCCTATGCAACCCAATTAGTTTTACTGCTAAATATCTTTCGATTTCAATGCTAGCATTTAGCGAGTGCACTTTAAAGGCTTAACCCGCATTGTATATATTAATCAGAAATTAATTCCTGAGTAGAAACGAAGAGAAAAAAAAAACCCCCACAGTATCTCACACTCACCTGTTCATCCTCCTGCATAGAAGCCGCTAAAGGAAGCCCATCAGCCACCCGCGCAATCATCGTTAAAAGTACCATCTTCTTGGACGATCAATACCTACAAGTTCAGAATCCTACCCGCCCGACTATACTGAGCTGGCCGGAAGCCGCAAAACCAAATTCCGGTACCCTATAATAACTCTCTTGCCTGTTTCCTGTGCAATCATATCTCCGGTCAAGAACTGAGGTGCCCAACTTTTTGGTTCCGGTAAAAGTTACGAACATTTGGGGGGGGGGGGTTCCTCTCAGAAGTGGGGAGGGGTATGTCTTCACCAGCACCAGCAAAGATCGTAAGCCTGAAAGCCTAAGTGTCATTCGCTTCGGCGACGGCAGTTGCAACAACACAGTTACAGAATAGCGTGGGCGTTCTAATAACCTCTCCACTTGGAGGGGGGGACATCGAGCAATATGAATGGCTCGAGCTCCAGCTGCGTCTCTCTAGCACAATACCGAACGGGGTTGTCCTCACACTCGTTTTTCTACTTATCTTTTTCAGAGCTCCTTTTCATCTTGCAGTTTTTAAATGCTATAAGCGCTATTTTCGGAAAAGAAGTATAATTCGCACACTGTAGACATGACAATTACCTAATATTTTACATGCAAGCTTTTTGTGAACAACAGCTTAAGAAGGTTAACTGCCGACTTCCGGTTTGTTGGCTTCGCGAGCGGCAGGGATTTGCGAAGCTGCGCGATCCCTGCCGCGGTAGCCGTTTTTGGGGCTCCGACCCAGACGGGTACGGAGCTAGGCTGCCCTGCAGGGGCAGCTGAAGGTAGGGGGGATCCGGAGAAGGGTTTGGGGGTTTTGCAGACCCCCTCCCCGGCCGGCAGAACCCCTTTTTCCCAGGACGGTGCAGCGGCGGTCCGTAATGTCCGCCACAAAGAAGCTGGCAGCCGGGTAAGAATGCGCAGGAGGAAGTGGAGAAAGTGCTTGAAAGGAGAAAGTTTTTCTTGGCTCCTAGGACTCTAAGACATATTTAACAAAATTCCTGAAAAGTATGACTTTCTGAATGATACCTTCGAGAAGAGGAAGAAAGCGGCAGTTTAATGGTGCTGAAAGGATAGCTTACCCTTTTTTCTACGGAATAAAAAGTGAATATTAAGAAATCTATTTTTTTTTAGGTGAAAACTGGCTTTAAGCGATGAGTGGGAAAAGAGAGGACTAAAAAAAAATATTTGTATGCTAAGACTTTGTTGGAGGAGATGCCTTAAGGATTGAAAGACTAAAATATATTGCAATAAGATTTTAAGAAACAGATTTGGACTTTCTTTTTCTCTGATTGATACTACCCTAGGAGGAGAGAGTGGGAACTCTGTCTTGGTTTGGACTGACTGATAACTTTGGGATTGTCTTATTTTTCCTTTGGAATATTCTGACTGTTGTAAGAGAAAAGAAAAGAAAAGATTTATAATGGCTCCTTCTATTGAGGAACTGAGAAAAGATTATGAGCAAGCAAAAAAAAATGGTAAAGCTGGTTTGAAAGAAGCCTTCCTTTTTTTAGAAATGGCGCTTATTAACTATCAACAAACATTGCAGCAGATGAAGACAGCAGAAGAAGAAGAAGGAGAGGAAACCATCTTTAATAAATCTCAGAACTCAACCAAGAGGGAAGGAAGAGGGAAGAGAAGAGAAATAAAGGACTTAAGATTTAAAAAAACATTTAAGAAAGGGAAAAACAAGGTGCAAAATCAATATAAGGATGGTAAACAAAAGGGAAGAGGAATACGACAGAGAAGGGAAGCCAGTAAGGCAGAGGCTAGAAGAAGGGGGGGTAGAAAGGTTTGTTGGGAGAAGAAAGAAAGGGAAAAGGTGGAGAAAAGCTACAAAGTTTTGAAATTAAATGGGAAAAAAGGAATTTTTTTTAGGGATAAAGGATAAGTATAATTTCTTCAAAGAGATTTTGCAAGGTACATAAGATGATATGGTAGTATTGTATTAGAAATAGAAAACTTAAATGGCTTAAGAGTTGATAAGAGATTAAAATGTTGAAATGTTAATAATGATTGGTTTTAAAATATAATATGAGGGGAGATTTAGAATATTGAGCTTTAATTAAAGAGTTTAATAAGATTATGGGATTGATGTTATTATAAAATTTTCATTATAGTATTTGTTTTTAATATTTAGATCTATTGTTTAACTATGTATTTAATAATTTTGGATGTATTATTCAGTTAGAATGTACCAAGCAAAATCGGATTGGGTATTCTAAAGATTAATTTGATTAATTTAGTCGGGAGATAGAAAGGCATCATACTCTGATTAGTGATTTCAGGAGAAATTTCTTTTTTTTTTTATAAGGAATGAGACAAAGGTACAATAAAGAATGGACAAAAGATACAAATATAATGACTCAAATTAAGATGATTAATTAAGATAGAATTAAAAAGAGTGAAATATGGGGAGAAGTTAATATAGAAGATTTAGAATGGTAAATAAAATAAGTAATGATATGTAAGATGAGTATGAATACAGTTGAAGTCCATGAAGAAAGAAATACCTGGGTCCAAGTTACTTTCCAAAAAGATCTTTTTTTATGTTTTGTGTGTTGTGTATATATGTTTTTTTGTGGGGGGAGAATTAATGAAACCTTGCAGAAATATAGAATGAGAATAATGGTAACTAAGTCAGAAAGAAATAGATGAAATAATAATAATAAAATGGAATAAGAGTAAAGAGAAAGAAAGAGAAAATGGATAAGAGGTTTTTGTATGTTTATATGGAAATGGTTTAAAACAGAATTATAGTTTATCTGACTTGTTAAATTTATAATGGAAAAAGGTTTAAATATGTAATGGATAATGACGACTTGTGTGTTTTGAAAAAAATTAATAAAACTTGTTTAAAAAAAAAGAAGGTTAACTGCCACTTCTAGGGCAGATTTTTTAAAAAACATTGCTGTTTGTTATCAGGAAAAGTTGCTATTGACGTGAATAAAGCCAATGTAGTCATAGGCTGTGTCAATAGAGGGGTAGTAGTGAGATTAGGTGAAGTATTAGTACTGTTTTATACTGCATTAGTAAGACCACAGTTGTAATACTGTGTCCAATTTGGTCACGTAATACAAAAAAAGATGTTGGTCCTGGCAGTTATTTGTCCCATGGAGCCAAAGGCCCAGGTGAAATGGTGTTTGGGCAAATGGGCAGGGAAGAAGGGTGAGAGGTGGAGGGCCAAGGGAGGGAGGGCCAGCAGAGAAAGAAAGAAATGAGCTGAGGCAGGTGGCTGGGGGGAAAAGGATGTAGGAAATTAACACCCACCCCTCCCCTAGGAAAAAGAAATATTTTAGGATATACTAAAAAGGCAGAATATATCCCCTAAAAAGGGAAGTAGAAACTCAGAGGCAGAAGCTCACCCCCCCACCTTTGTTAATGGCAGGCCATTAAGGCCTGGGCCAGAGTATTCTACATAACAAAGCCCTCTCCCCACCTCACCACATGGCCGGAGAAGATTGCATCAGCCAACACTCAGGTGAAGCCATGTGGTCCAGACAAAGCCTACAAAGTTAGCTACCATGTTTCTCAGAAAATACGACCCACCCCAATAATAAGCCCAATCCTAATTTTGGGGGGAGCTAATATACCCCTACCCCGAAAATAAGCCTGGGGGAGTGGCAGTGTGGGCATGGGGGGGCAAGTGCAGAGAGGGGCAAAAGTCATTCTGCGCTGAAGCGCAGGCATTCCAAGAGCCTTCAGCATATCCCAGGATTGTAACGCTGAAGATTCGGAACAGAGCCTTCTGCGTTGCAATCCTGGGATACACTGAAGACTCGGAGTGGAGCTGTTTTTGTGAAAGGCAGGAAAATCGGGAGAGGAATTTTCCTACCTGTTATCCATTACTCTTAGAGCAGGACCCTGCAAGGCTTGTTGTGGTGTTGCACTCATGAATGGCAGCACTTCCGTGACCTTCATTACACTAGTGCAGCTGGCATCCTACCGTGAGCAACTGCGCCAATGTATCCAAACTCGTGGTGATGCCACCGCTCGCACGCACAATGGCACAGCAATCCTTGCAGGGTCCTGTTCGAAGAGGCTGCGCCAATGTGACGAACCTCACAGCAATGCCTCCGCTCGCACACACAACGCTACAACAAGCCTTGCAGGGTCGTGGGACCCTGAAAGGCTTGTAGCATTGTGCGTGCAAGTGACAGCACAGCAATCCTTTCAGGGTACTGCTCGAAGAGGCTACGCCGATGTGACGAACCTCACAGCTGCCGCTCGCACACACGCACGCTACAGAAAGGCTTGCAGGGTCCTGGGATATGCTGAAGGCTTGGAGTGGAGCTGATTTTTCAAAAGGCAGGAAAATAGGGAGGGAAAGGGAGCTTGAGGAATAGATGACAGGCAGGAAAATCCCCCCTCCTGTTTGCCAAAAACCCTTCATTCCGAATGCTGAAGTTTTGGAATTGAGGCTTTTTGGTGAACAGGGAAGAAAATGGGTAGGGGGAATTTTCCTGCCTGCCATTCTTCCCTCAGTCTGTGCTAAGCTTGTGGAATAGCTCCTTTTGGCTGCTACAGAAGCGACCCGGTGGAGAGGCAAGGGTGTGCATGGGGCGCTTTCAGCTGCTAAAGAAGGGGCAAGTTGGAGAGGCAAGGCACATGGGGCGTTCCTTCGGATAGAAGCAGCTCAGTGGCTCGGCAAGGCGCATGGGGAGAAAATTAAGACACCCCTCAAAAAGATGGCCTAGCCATTTTTTCAGGGGTCTAAAAAAAATAAAGCCCTGTCTTATTTTCTAAGAAACACGGTAAGATACCCCCCCACCTCTGGGAGTCTAACAGCCAATGAGATACATTTCTTACACAGGAACAGGAAACACTAATGTAGGGCCCAACAGAGGGTATAAAACTAAGGGTCTCTCAGCATCTCAGCCCTTCTTTTCCTTCACTCAACATCTTGAAACGTGGTCATCCTTTTCACTTTAGAGCTCCAAGCCATGTGATCCTGTCCACCATTAAACCATCTTTCCAAACAGCCTCCATGTTTCCAGTGTATTTTTCCCCACTTGGAACTGAACCCAGAAGGATAATTCTTCCAACAATTAGATGCAGCCAAGGGTCCGTGTCTAAACGTCCCATTCCAAGATGTTGAGACTCTAGTCTAGAAAGAGTGCAGAGAAAAGCAGCAAAGGGACTGGAGGCCAAACCACAAAATGAAGAGTTTTAACAGATTAACAGAATTGGAAGTGACTTTGTAAGTCATCTAGTCCAACCTGCCCCCCTACAAGTACTACACCATTTCTGACAGGTGGAAATCCAGGCTCTTCTTGAAAGCTTCCAGTAATGAAGCTCCCACAACTTGTGAAGGCAAGCTGTTCCATTGGTTAATTATTCTCAACGTCAGAAAATTGCTCCTGATTTCTAGGTTTAATCTCTCCTTGATTAGTTTCCATCCATTATTCCTTGTCTGACCTTCAGGTCCTTTGGAAAACAGATTGACCCACTCTTCTCTGTGATGGCCCCTCAAATATTGCAACACTGTTATCATGTCTCCCCAGTGCTTCTCATCACTACACTAGCCATGCCGAGTACCAGCAACCGTTCATCGTAAGTTTAGCCTCCATTCCCCTAAAATCTTGGTTGCTCTTCTCTGCACTTTTTCTAGAGTCTCAATATCTTTTTTTATAGTGTGGTGACCAAAATTGGATGCAATAATCTAGGTGTGGTCTTACTAAGGCTTTATACAGTGGTATTAGTATCTCATTTGATCTTGACTGAATTCCTCTGTTAATGCAATTTAGGATTGCATTGGCTTTTTGGACTGCTGCCACAAAGTGTTGGCTCCTATTTAATCAGGGGTGGGATTCAATTTTTTAAACAATCAGTTCTGTGGGCAGGGCTTAATTTGTGGGTGTGGCTTGGTGGTCATGTGACTGGCTGGGCATGGTTTGCTGACTGGGCGTGGTTTGCTGATCACATGACTGGATAGGTGTGGGTTGGTGGTCACGTGACCGGTTGGGCATGGCGTTGTGGCCATGTGACTGGCAAACCAAATACAAGTGGTCCTCGCTTAATGGCCGGTTGCTTAGCAAGTGTTCTAATTTATGACTGACCTCCCCAGTTATTTGACCTGTTTTTGGAGTTTTGACAGCTATGCGCGTGCACACACACACACTCCCTTCTAACCCTGCTATTCTATTATTCTGTAAGGATCTCCTGCTGGAGCAGGAGGTTGGATTAGAATATGTCCTCCGAGATCCCTTCCAGGCCAGCCCTAGATTGCTGTGCTGCTTCAAAGAGTCTTCTGAAGTCAGGGTTTCTCTCCTTTTTTTCTCTCCCTCCCTCCTTCCATGTATTTATCTATCCATTCATTTATCTCATTCACTTTCTCTTCTCTCTCTTTCTTTCTCTTTCTTTCTTTCTTTCTTTCCCTTCCTTCCATCCCCTCTCTTTCTTTGTCTATCCCTTTTCTTCCTTTCTCTTCTTTTCTCTTTCCCTTTTTCTTTCTTTCCCTTTCCTCTTTACTTTCTTGTGTCTTCATTCTCTCTTTTTTCTCTCTCTCTCCCTTTTTCTTTCTTTCCCTTTCCTCTACTTTCTTGTCTCTTCCCTCTCTTTTTCTTTCTCTTTCTCTCTCTCTCTCTCTCTCTCTCTCTCTCTCTTTCTCTCTCTGTTCCTCTCTCTCTCTATTCCTTCCCTTCCTCCTTCCCTTCCTCCTAAAGCCAGGAGACCCACCTGAAACACACACACACACACACACACACCAACAAAGTACTTGCCCAGCAGCATTGCTCATGATGAGGGTTCTTCCTGGCAAGTCTCCAAAAGTCCCAGGGACCGGGCACGATTGTCTGTTCACACCCAATCCCACGTTGCCCAACCCTGAAGGCAAGGCTTCTGGGTCCAACAAATGGGCCATGGGCGGGACTTCCTCCCATCCCTCTTTTGGGCTGGGAACTTCAAGTGAGGCGTACACTGCAGCCTTGCCCACCCCACCAGCAGCTCTCGACTAGGCAGCAGTTTGAGTTTTCCCAACTGCCTGCAAACTTACCTTCCTCCCACGGCTGGTGGCAGAGGGAAAGGTGAGCCAGCCAGGGCAGAGCAGTCACCACTCAACTCCCCACCAGGCTGCATCTCGTCCACTGCTCAGATTCTCTGCAGCTGCTGGGGCTCACGGCTGCCAGGGGGTGTGGGAGGCGGCCAGGAAGCACAAGGCTACACCGCCTGCATCACCCCTCTGCCAGCTGCCCTACCCTTGCTGGGCCAAGTGTTTTAGCTGAGTGTGGGAGGCAAAGGGGCAATGTGGGCCAGACAGCATAGTGCCATGCTCCCCCTGCCCCTAACAGGCAAGGCCCAGCAGCTGCAGAGAATCAAGGCAGGAGGCGAGATGCAGGCTGGTGGGGACCTGAGGGGCAATGAGTTAGCCCTGACTCGCCTTCTTCTGTGCCACCAGCAAGGCAGGTAAGCTGGAGGCTGGGGACAGTTGGGAGGGGGAAGCTTGCTAGGCTGTGAGTGCCGCATGTCACGGTGCTAGCAGCTAAGCAAGCCAGACAGCCAGTATGGTTGGGGGGGAAGCTTGCTAGGCCACGAGTGCCACATGGGATGGAGCTGTGGTGCTGGCGGCTAAGCAAGCCAGACAGGGACAGTTGGGGGGGAAGCTAGCTAGGCCACGAGTACTGAGGGTGGCGGCGGCATGGCGGTGGTGACCTAGGCTAGCCTGGGAGTCGGGACTCAACTGGGGCTTGTGGTGGTGGCAAGGGTGAGGGTGGCAGTGGTAGTGCAGTGGTGGTAGCCTAGGCTGGCCCAGGAGTCGGGACTCAACTGGGCCTGGCAGCAGCAGCAACATATAGGCAACCAGGGCTTGCAGAGCCTCACTCACCTGGGGAGATCATGGCAGAAGGCAGACAGGAATGGCTGGCGGGCAGGCAGGTGGGTGAAGACAGACTGCAGGCAGTGATGGCACATGGCCGAGATGAGGGGCAGAGCAGGCGGGGGAAGAATGCAGTCAGCGATGGTCGTGCATGCAATGTTGTGCATACACGATAAGGACTGACTGGGCAGAGAGCGTAGAAGCGGGTGGAGAGGGGCAGAGCCAGCCAAAGACCCAATTTACCAGTTCTCCGAATTAATGAGAATTATAACAACCGGTTCTACTGAACTGGTCCAAACCAGTAGAATCCCACCCCTGTATTTAATTGGTTGTTATAATTCTCATTAATTCTTATTATTCGTGTTAAGTATGGAGAATAACGGAGACCAGACATCTGACCAGTGACTTCAACTCTTTAATAAAGTAATAGAACATAACAGAGCAATGCTATGGGCAGCAGTAACCCTTTTATAGGGTTAGCTGCTGCCTTATTAACCAATTAAAATGTGCAACAAGTTCAAACTACTAACCAATAAGAACAGTCCCAAAAAGTGGCCAATCACTAGTTCTGGCCCAATCCCAAGTTGTTGTATAAGGACCAATCAAGTGTGCAGGTTTTCAACCCCTAATTTGCATTTAGGTTATTCACTTTTATTGATTCACAACACCCCTCCCCCTTGGGTTCCGTTTGAGGGGAGCTGTAATAAAATCCTCAAGATAGGCAGGCCGTTTGGTCTGCCTGGATGATTTCCGAGGCTCCACCGGGTTTTGTCTAATGTCCGGTTCCGGTGGAGCGTTTGGATGACCTTTGTTAAATTCTATTTCGCTGCACGGCAATTCCGTGCTGCATTCACTGTGGTTGTCTCTGCTACTGCGTGTTTCTTCAGGGTTTTGCAGTTCGTTTTCCCCCGTATTAAAGTTCCCTGAAGACGTCAACTCCCTCCCCGCTTCACGTTCCGGTGCTTCGCTGGGCTGTAGGGCTCCCGTTGACCTGCTATTAGTTGTATCAAAGTCAATTCCCTCGATACTCCCTCCCCCTTGAGTTGGTGAACCGGGGAAGTCATGGCCGCTGGGTGGTAATCTCGATCAGAGCTGGTCTATGTGGCGTTTCCACACCCTCCCATCGTCTGTTAGCAGGTGGTAAGATCTAGGCCCGGTGAGGTGGGTAACGGTTGCAGGTATCCATAACGGGTCGCCGGAAAAGTTTTTGGCAAAGATTAAATCGCCTACCTTAAATTCCCGGCATTTGCTGATGGAGCCGAAAGGTTTTTCCGGTGTGAAAGCAGGGTGGAGCCGGTCAAGGTGCGATCGTATTTTCCGCCCCATAAGAAGTTCAGCGGGTGTTTTGTTGGTCACGCTGTGGGGCGTGATGTGCTGCAATAAGAGAATTCGATTGATTTTCTCATCGATGTTGCCAAATTCCATTTTGTGCAGGGTCTTTTTCACAAATTGTACCATGCGTTCTGCACGTCCATTCGCCGCAGGGTGCGCGGGCGAGGTTAGCGCATGGCGGATGCCCCGATCAGCAAGATATTGTTCAAAGGGCAATGCAGTGAACTGTGGGCCGTTGTCCGAGACCAACACGTCCGGAAACCCGTGTGTGGCAAATAGTCTGTTTAATTTATTAATAACTGAGTCAGTTGTAGTGGGTGCATTCGATGAATCTCGAGCCAGTTAGAATAGGCGTCGACAGTAATCAGGAAAGTGTGACCTTTGGTAGGCCCTGCAAAGTCAATATGAATACGGGACCACGGTCCCCTCGGCGTTTCCCATTCGGTTGGGCTTGCTTTAGGTGGGGCGTTGCTGACGTCCTGGCAACGTTGGCACGTAGCGACCCAGGCCTCGATTTTTTTGTCGATTCCCGGCCACCAAGCATAGCTGCGTGCGAGTGATTTCATCAGCACAATGCCCGGATGTCCCTCATGCAATACCGCCAACACAGTCTGTTGCAATTTGCCAGGGATTACGACTCGATCGCCCCACAAGATACAGCCTTTTTGGGAAAACAGCTCGGTTTGGCGGGCTTTGAAGGGCGCCCATTCAGGTGCAATTTGGTCCGTCGGCCACCCCCGTTCAACCCAGCGTAGTATGTGTTGCAGAACTGGGTCACGTTTCGTTTCAAAAGCAATGTCTCTAGCCGTCAAGGGTGGTGCATGTAGAGCTTCAATCTGTAGTGTTGAGAGGGTTGGGGCTGGATCCACAACAGCGTCTGGGAGCGGTGTTCTGCTCAATGCATCGGCGTGGAGAATCGATTTCCCCGGGCGGTGTTGCAAGGTGTAGTTGTAGGCTGCCAGGAACTCAGACCAACGGGTCATTCTGGGGGACAATATATACGGGGTTGGTTTATTACCCGCAATGATCCCCAGTAGCGGTTTATGATCAGTGATTATTGTAAACGCACAGCCATAAACATATTCGTGAAATCTTTTAACTGCAGCAACAATAGCTAAAGCTTCTTTGTCCAGCTGACTATAATTTCGTTCAGCTTTAGCTAAGGTTCACGAAAAAAACGCGATGGGGGCCTCCGCTCTGTTTGGTAACACGTGGGCCAGAATTGCCCCAACCCCAAAAGGTGATGCATCACACGTGATAGTGAGTGGCAGAGTCTCATTGTACTGCATAAGTACTGAATCAGAAGTTAGCAATTCCTTTACTTGTTGGAAAGCATGTTGTTCCCGTTGTCCCCAAACCCGCATTGCTTTTTTGTCTAATAGTCTATGCAATGGTTCAGCTACTGTTGCTTTGTGGGGTAAAAACACATTATAGAAATTGATAAGTCCAAGGAACGCCTGTAGGTCTGCCTTGTTTCTTGGAGTGGGTGCCTTTTTAATTGCTCGTAATTTGTCTTCGGTGGGATGAATTCCTTGGCTGTCCAGGAGGTATCCCAAAAATTCTACTTTTTCGGTACATAATTGGCATTTATCTTTTTTTACTCTGAGGCCTGCATTTTGGAATCTTCGTAAAACCTCTCTGAGTCGTTTTTCTAGGATGTCTTTGTTAGGTGCGGCGATGAGTACATCGTCAAAATATGGGACAACGCCTTTTATCCCTTGTAACAACCTTTCCATTAAACTCTGGAAGATTCCAGGGGCGACGCTTACCCCGAATTGGAGCCGGTTGCATTTAAATGCGCTCCTATGTGTTACGATCGTTTGCGCCTCGGCTGTGGTTGGGTCTACAGGCAATTGTTGATACGCCTGGGCTAGATCTAGTTTGGCGAAAACTTTCCCGCCGCCCAGGGAATGGAGTAAATGTTGCACTACCGGTACTGGATAAGCACTTTGCTGCAGTGTGTGGTTTAATGTGGCCCGGTAGTCTCCGCAAATTCTTAGGGACCCATCAGGCTTGATAGGCGTCACTATCGGGGTTTCCCAACGGGCGTGGTCGGTGGGTTCCAGTACGCCCTGCGCTATCAGCTTATCGAGTTGTTCGTCGCTTTTAGGCTTTAAGGCGGATGGGTGCTATTTCAGGGTTCAAGTTAAACGAGATTGGGGTCCCCTTATACTTGCCTAGTCCGTTCGCGAAAACGTCTTGGAATTCTTGCACGAGTGCTTCTTCCCAATCGACGCTTTCGGCCTTGTGGACTCCGGCTACAGTGATTCCGAGCAGCCTGAACCATTGAAGGCCTAGAAGACTAGGCCTATCTCGATCCACGACAGTCAGTGGCAGTGCGACGGTGCGGTCCTTGAATGAGACCTGGAATCTGCGGGACCCGACGACGGGAATTCGGTTGCCCTGATAGTCTTTGAGTATAACCCTTTGAGGGTTAAGGTCTTGGCGGCGAATCGTTGGAATAAGCTGTTGGAGCGTTTTCCACGACACCATTGAGAGGGAAGATCCCGAGTCTACCTCCATCACGCAAGGTTTGTTTTCGATGGCGACTTTTACTCGGATTTTCCCGGCATCAAGGGATGTAGCGTGGCCTATGGTGATTGTTTGGTAGGTCTCTTCCCGCCTGGTTTCTTCACGCCTGGTGGAAGTGGTGGACGGCTTGTTTCTGTAGGAGTGGTTCAATTTTTCTCGGTGTGTGCCGAAGAATCCGGAAGACTGGAATTCGGCCTGTCGGGGTTTGGAGTTCTGTTTGCTTCTGCAAACCTTTGCGATGTGACCGCGTCTCCCGCAATGGCGGCAAAGTGCGTCGAGGAATTTGCAGCCGGATCGTGGGTGATTTGCTCCACAGCCGGCACACGGTCGAAATGAGTGTTGTGTGGACTGGTCTCTCTCCGTTCGAAATCGGTTGACCTCTTCCTCATCGCTGTCGGATGGGGACTCTAGGTCTTCGTGGTGAGTTGATACCGGGTGTCTCTCTGAGCGAGGCGAGGTATCAGTGGCGAGTTTACGTAGCGGTGCGTTGGTGCGGCGCATTTGGGCTGCCGACTTCTTTGTCGCCTCCGCTGCCGAGGCTTCTTTAAGGGCATCGGTGAGGCTGATGTCCCCCTTAGCCATAATTTTGCTCTGGATAGCGCCGTCTTCTAGGCCCAGAACCAGGCGGTCCCGGAGGGCTTCTTCTAAGTCTGCGAACCCGCAGAGGCCTCCTAGGTTCCGGAGGTCCGCGATGTAATTGGCAAGGCTTTTGCCCTTCCGTTGGTCCCTCTGGTAATATTCGTGTCTTCTTACTAGGGTTGGCACAGTGGGCGCGTAGTGAGCCCGTAGTAACGGGTCGAGGACGTCCCAGTCCATTTCTTTTACCTCTGCTGGCTTGGCAAGCGACTTTGCCATTTTAAACACGGTTGGTCCACAATGAGTTAGAAAGATAGCTCTTTTTTTGCCGGTTGTCGCATCTTTCAAATTGTTGGTTTCCAGAAACATCTGGAACCGATCCATGTAGGCCTCCCAGTCTTCGGTTTCTGGGTTGAATGGAGCGGGTGGTACGGCACCGCTGGCCATGTTGCCGTTGATGGTGCGTGTTCGACCACGTGCTCTGTTAGTTGCTCTGTAGGTTAGTCAGCTCTTCGGTCTCCGAATCCCACCTTCGTCGCCAGTGTTAAGTATGGAG